CAGTGAAGGATTTGCCGGTTTTCATATAAGTCAAATGACAGCGAGCAGAATGGCTTTTAGTCAACAAAGGCAACATATTACTAAAATATTACATATTACATACACAAAACAACTGGCGTAGGTAAAACTCACAGATAGCAGTGCTTCACGAAAAACCCAGACGATTCTAATGACAGATAAGACTCCACAAATGTGACATGTTGTTGGACAGATATGTCAAGTGACTGTATTAACTAAAAACGTTGTAACTTCCGGCCACAAGCCTTCAAAATAAAACTGAAAAATACCAAAAACATTAGTGTGAAAAATAAGACCGTTTTGATTTGTAGACGAATCATTTGGACTTCCTGTGTAGTCGTGTGCATCAGCATTGACGTCAAAGATTCGCCATTTTGAAGGTTATGGTTAACAACGGGCAGCGAGCACCTAGGTAACATAACAGGAGGCCTACGAGTTCACGAGTCTGCGTCCAGATAGAGAGGAGACGCAGAGTTCATATCAGCAAGGATGCCAGGGAACACACATAATGATGTCATTTATAAACTCAAACGACAGGTTTGTTGCTAAAATACAAAGGCACAATTGCTGCATTCATTTTATTTCTAAAGCATCACTACATGAATAACTCCAGAAAAAACCCCACAAATGTTCCTTGACACAAAGCATCGCTGTATCGCTCCCTCCTTCCTTTAGCAGCATTGCCCATATTGTTAGGGGCATCAAATGCAATCTGATCTACTTTTGTCAAAGTGTGACTTTGTAAAAACCTGTGAGGTTGTTCAAAGGGATGTTTAAATGGTGACAAGCTAGTGTTGGTTTGTATAGATATTTGGATTGATTTACAATCACAGCCGGAAGGTCGAGGGTTCAATCCCCAGCTCAGCAACATGTCTGATGTCCTTGGGCAATCCCGCTGTTTCAGTGGCGGTGTATGAATGGATTAGTGTTGTAATGATGTATGTTGCTGTCGCTTTGGAGAAAATAGATTTAATTACATTTGATAAGGTCCACTTTGTTAGGCCTTTATGTAGGCATATACCTCTCATTTGCACTTGACAAGTTACAGGCCCTGTAAAAAAAAAAAAGTTCATATTGTTCATGCAAGAATGGGTCAAAAACAGTTTTGAAATGCATGACAAAGAGAGAGTTGGCAAGCAGGATAAAACAGTAGTATACAATGTAGGGTATTTTAATAAATACAGTTGGACATTCATTCTTTAACACAAGTGCCTTATTGCCTCAGGTTTGCAATAACAAATGACGCTATTAACCATCTCTTGATGTTTTTTGGAACACACGAGAGGTTGAATGTGTTTTATTTGTATAAAACCAGTTCATAAAAATGCTATGCTAAAACGCTGATGATTAGAGTTGTTACTTCCCCTAGGAGTCAAAGCCTAGCAGCATCCCGGGGGACTGGACCAAGCCTGAGCTAACCCTAGCTTTATCAAAAAGGAAATGTTAAAGCCTACTCTTAAAAGTCGAGAGAGTGTAGGCTACTGGTAGTTGATGTCAACTGTGGGACCTGATAATTAAAGGCTCTACTTCCTTTTAGAGAATGTATGGTTGTACACAAGCAAGCCTGCATTATGGGATGTTCTAGAGGAGTAATACAGCACTATATGCTCCTTGAAGATAAAATGGGGCCTCACAGAGCTTTACAGTATAAGGCAGAAGACACATTTAAATTATCTTCTTGAAAAAATAGGTTAGAATTCTTCTTTTTTTTGTTCTGACATTGGAGAGACCAAATAATTGAATAAGGTCCAAATGTTTTTTTTTTTTTAGCAGACCTACTATCATGGATGTGATCTGCAAAGAAATTGTCAGACATCCAGTTTTTATTAGGTTCACGCTGCAGTTTTTCCTTTTTGTTATTCTGCCCTAGCACACACAAGTTGCATTCAGTTTGTAACCTCATTTATCCACTCTCCAGTTTATTGGTGGTAATAGCCCGAGTTCTTCCACCTGAACAGAGCACGAGCTGGGTGCTGTTTGTCCCTGGGGATGCTCTGTGCTTTTCTCCTGCAGCATTGTGTGTACAGTGTGTCCATGGAGGAGGGGTTGGAGCCATTGATTCTCTTTGCAGTCTTGATGACCCGTTGAAGCGATTTCCTCTCAGCCAGTGTGGTGTTTCTCACTGGTGAGGAGGCTTTCAACGAGTCCTCTGTAGGCCTGGTTGAGGGGCTGATGTCTAAGTACAGTTTTCTTCAGCAGCCTGAGGAAGTATAGCTGCTGTGCTTTCTTCACTGTTTTAGCAGTGTTTTGGGCCCAGCTCAAGTTTTCCGTGATGTGAAGACCAAGGAGCTTGTAGCTGTCAGCCAGCGCACACCACAGCTCCCTTGATGGTGAGAGGCTGCAGAGGGGGGCTTTCCTCCTGAAATCCAGAATTAACTCCTTTGCCTTGTCTATGTTGAGAACAAAGTTGTTGTGCTCTCCATAGACAGTGACTTTATGGACCAGCTCCCTGTAAGAGGACTCATCCCTTCCTCTGATGAGGTCAAGGATGGACGTGTCATCGGCATATTTAATGATGATGCTGTTATTGTTCTGGGGGAAGACACAGTCACATATGTGCATGGATGTTGCCTTGTAATGGGTTGGTCTCCATCAGTCAAAATGCCAGTCATCCTGCAATGACATGAAAATACTTTTTATGTTTGTTTGTTTAAAGCTGCATAAAATCAGACTGTTGACATTTAATTGCAAGACTACAACATTTTAATTTTAATGGTTTTTATTTTTTCAATGTAGGAGGTTTGCAGCCCAACTTTTCATTATTTGCCTCAATTGTGTCTGACTACATGATTTACCACTAAAGGCAACCATGTGATGTTTATCTTAGCCTGAAGCCGTTAGCCTGCAAGCCTGACAGCATTGTCTTGTACAAACTATACAGCATTAAGCATTGTTGCAAGGTTTCACTATACACATTTTCTCAAATGTTTGTATTTCTTATCACTATTGTTTTTATCTTAATTTGTTTTACTCTAGTTCAATTACATTGATGAAGCTAATGAACCATTCATAAACTTTACATTGCAGGTGCACTTTATATGGTCTTGCATATTGTATAACTTCAAACTGCCTTTTTTTTTTTTTTTTTTGAACATTCTTTATTCAAACAGTTATTGTATTCAATATTTTACACATTTATATTTACATATCTCAGTTGGTGAAACATGGTAAGAATTATTTACAGTTCGGCAAACATATAAAAAAATAAATAAAACACAAATAAAACTCATGGCAACACCTTCATCCGCACAAAGAGGAGACTCTTGACAAGTAGAGGGAAAAAATTGCTTCTTCAAAGCAGGCATCAGATATATCTGTCCATACACACACAAGCAATTGTTAACCTTTCACATACATCTCTATGAATATGTCTACTGACAAGTCCAAAATAAACCAAACGAAATACACATAATGTTTTCTTTTAAATAAATTGAGTTTATGTAAACTGGTCTCTTACTCTATCAGTAAATTAAGGTAAGCAATGACAGGAGCCCATAGAACCACAAACAAATCCATTTTCAGATGGAGTTTCGCTGTTATTTTCTTCATCAAGTAAACCCTCTCTAGCCTTTCTCTCCATTGGAGAAGGGTGGGAGGTAGAGGTCTAAGCCAGGATATGGTTATCATTTTCCTCTCCACCAGAAGAAGGATGTGTAGTAACCGGGCCTTTCCTTTATCCATCGCTCCATCCGGTATTAAACCTATGATGAAATATGACGCTGTAAGCGGTAAATCTACTCCTAGGATGGTTCGTATTTCTGCTTGAATCCCTTCCCAAAATGATTTCAGTTTGGGACAGTCCCAAAAGATGTGAGTATGATCTCCAACCTGTTTACAGTTCCTCCAGCATAAATTTGTCTTACTTCTGTCATATTTTGATATTATAAACGGAGTCTTGAAGTATTGCATTCTTAATTTCCAACTGAATTCTTTCCAAGTTGGACTATTCGTTATCTTATGCCCCACTTCACACACATCCTCCCACTCTTTATCCTTAATGACCACATTCATCTCCAGCTCCCACCTTTCTTTCACATCAACAGAATTTCCTGAGCATTGTGCCTGTAAATATCTGTACATATGTGAAACTATTTATTTATTTATTTTTTAAAGATTTATTTTGGGCTTTTTGTGCCTTTAATGCAGAGAGAGGACAGTGGATAGAGTCGGAAACCAGGGAGAGAGAGCGGGGAATGACGTGACCGCTTGAGATGAGAGTCTCAATACATGGGACGCGTGCCCTAACCACTGCGCCACCAGCGCACCCCAACTATTTTCTTAGTATTCTTTTCTTCCATGTTCCTCATCAAACTGCCTTTTTTTTATACTCCACGCAGCCACTTTATCCCAAAATATGCTTTCCCAAGTAGTTACTAACTTGGATAGACATCATTTATTTAACTCATATTTTAAATACTTTTTTTGCATTACTATGTTCTCAATGGAAGAGAGTTAGGGCCACTAAAAAAAATCAGCTCTGATTTTTCTGAGATTAAAGTCTGAATTCAATTTTTTTGATTCCACTTTTTTTTCTAGTTAGAATTCTGACTTTAATCTCATAATTCTGAGATAAAAGTCAAAAGATAAAAATGTTTTTTTTTTAGTTTCCATTTCTTCCGCATTCTCACTGTGTTACAACACAGAGGGTGTGGCACCTCTCTGTTAATTTGTTTTTCTACAAACACACACACACACACACACACACACACACACACACACACACACACACACACACACACACTCACACAGAATTAAACACATACAGACACTTTTGGATGGAAACTCTGTTTCCCATTTCTGTTGTTTCTCATTTTATTACCCATTCATGAGGAGTTCTTTTATATGCGTTTAGGGGAGTGGAGTCTTACTGTTTGTTGCACACAGACAAGACAGGGCATGCAACATCTGTGTCTGTGTGTGTGTGTGTGTGTGTGTGTGTGTGTGTGTTTAACGTGTGACGTAGTTGCTGCTGAATCTGGTTTGGCAGGATTTCTTAGGGAGGGGCAAGTAAGCTGAGACAGAGAGAAAAAGAGCTGAAAAGTTCAAGCTAGTTTTCATTTCCTTTCTTACACTTTAAAACTGGAAGCGAGTACTGATTATTGCGTTTGGTTTCAGCTGTAGGTAAGGTTGTTTTTTATTTGATTTTTGTTTAACATTACTGTGTCACATCCTAAAATCAGTGTGGTGAACAATCGCCCAAATGTTTTAATTCAACACAGATTAAAGTTACAGTTTTTTACTTTAAAGCAAGGTGAGAACAAGTTTTTAATTATTACAGCACATGTTAAGCTACATTTATTCCATCTAAAAGTCACAATGGAAATACACTTCCTCTGCCATGACTAATACAACATTTTAACTGTGGCAAGATTTAGAGCAATCCATGTAAACATGGAGTTCCTAATAAACAAAATGTGATGTTCATATGAAGTTTAGATTCGGTACACAGAGAAGCTTGGGGAATGTAACCCTCTTAAGTTGCCACATACATTTCAACCTTAACAGTTTGTTGGGTTTCAGTGTTGCAGGAAACTTAACTAATGCTTTTTTTTTTCTTTTTTTTATTAAAACTGTTCTCCACTTGATTTCCCATAAGGCTTGAATGATAGTTTCAGTTTAAGGAAAGAATAACATAGAATCAAAAAGGGTCTTGTGAGTCAAAGTAGGTGCAGATGAAATTTACTGGACCATTTCTGAAGTCTTATTAAAGGTAAATTTAGTGATATCTCCATAAGCATCATTAATGCTATGAACCCATATTTCAGACATCTGCAAATGAAAGGTAAACTAAGTTGTATTGGAGTAATTTGAGGCTTGAGCACGTTAATGCTGTCCTCAGAGATTAGCAAATCCATTTTTCTAATATCTAAATGTTGTAATCTTTTCTTAACATTGTGTAATCCAGCACTGCTGCACAACCTGTACAGGCTAGTTTATGGCGATGTTATTCCCACATGGATTTCATTTATCCTTATGACAAAATGGGATTTTATAATGTCAAGAATGAGTTTAGTACAGAGACAAAATCCATGTTCTATGAGAACCTAGCAAAACTTAAATCTGTTAAGCTGATTGTTATAAATCTTCAACAAAATATGTAATAAAATATGTCAACCTGGAAATAAACAAACTTGAAACATTTTAATGATTTAATTTATTGAAAAGTGTCAATGTTTGTAACTTTAATACATCATAAATAGCATTTGTACTGCACTTACATAGCATTTTTCCAGTTTTCTGACCTTCAAAGCGCTTTACACTACATGTCAGCATTCATCCTTTCGCACACAAGTTCACACTGATGGTACAGGCTTCTTTTCAAATTGTCAGGATAGTTATCAGAATCTAATGAATGCATTCAGACACATGTTAAAACTGATGGCTATACCTTCTGGAGAAATGTTAGGTTCAGTTTCTTGCTCTAGAATACTTGAACATGTATAAAACCTCATGTTTTGGGTGACAACCCCTTCTGCCTCTGAGCCACAGCTGCCCATAACGCAAATTGCAACATCAATTTCATCAAGTAATCAACTATGTTGTCATTTTGGATGAAATAATTTATATTATTTTAAGTAATTTGCACAGTAGATTTGTTGTTTTTTCTGACTCAACAATGGCAGCCCCACATTGGAATCATGGCAGTCCAATACAAAACAGTGCACCAATTGTGTAGATTTGATTTTGTAATGACAAAGACTTAATCTTTTTAAACACACACACACTGCCAAATTGTCTTTTACTTTACCATTTATATATGTACTTCATATTTTTATTTGTATTCATATTATCGATTCTGTTTCAAATCTAAATTGTATTACCTACTTCTACTTTTCTTTGTGCTGCTGCCATGCCCAAATTTCCCCTTTGGGGATCATTAAAGTATTATCTTATTGTATCTTATCTAAACTCAGAGGTTACATTTAAAGTGGACGAATGACATTGAAGTGTTTTTTTAGTTTACTTCATTACTTTCACACTTATTTCAAGATTTTCACTGTGTTTGTTTAAAAGCAGTATACAAACCAGAATTGAAGCTTACTTTTAACATATAAATCCTCTATTTGGACACATTAACATTGGCCAGGGTTCAAGATGAAGCTTCAAGAAACCAATGTGTAAAACTATGAATGAACTGTGACTTTTACTTGGTATGCAGCAACAATTCCCAGTTGAGACTAGAAAGTTAAGGGTAATAGCCAAGATGTCAGTAGCCAAATCAGGCAAGTGTACCCCATGGATCAAAGAAACCTCAGACGTGAGGTCCTTTAAAAATGATGGTGGGCAGATTAACTTCAGTTATCTTAAGATGAGCCAACCAGGCTTTTTTCAGTCTTTGTCATTAAATCAACTGACCGAGGTTACACATTTTGCAGCAGTAGTAAAAAAAAACATAAATAATTCCTGTTCTCTTCCCTTTTCTGCTTATCTCATGGCTTATGTTATACGGTCATAAGTAAGAGAGGGGTTTGGTTGTATTTATACTTCTGAGGAACAATTTTTGAATAGTTAAATAAATGTCAGGGGCAGCTTCAGTTTGTTGTTTATGATCTCATTAGCAGCTTGAGTATAGTCAAAATAACTGCAGACAGTGCATCTTTATACATGTTATCTGTCCTGATGTATGTACTGGTTTAACATTTTCATACAATCATTTTATGTGTCTATCTTTTAGAGATATGGAAACATAACACTTCTTTTTTCCTCTCTTATAAGGATTGATTTGTGTCCGTCTACTGGACCAGTTGAGCAGCAGGCATGAACTGGTCAGGACTGGAGAGCCTGTTGAGTGGAGTCAATAAATACTCAACTGCATTTGGGAGGATTTGGCTGTCCATGGTGTTTGTTTTCCGTGTCATGGTTTTTGTGGTGGCAGCACAGAGAGTTTGGGGTGACGAGAACAAGGACTTTGTGTGTAATACGCGCCAGGTAAGATTGAGGAACAAAGATTTTTAAGAGCTAAGTGTTCAGCCTGAAGGTTCACTTTAAGTATCAAGCAATAAAGCTTTCTTTCTTTTCACATATAGATTGTTATCAGGAGTTAATTCTCAATCACAATTACACAGAAACAACAAAATGCTTTATTTTGGTGCTTCATTAAGGGTTTCAAGAGGAAGTAATGCTGTCGGAATATTCCCCATTTCTTTATCGACATATGCACACTTAACCTATCCCCTAACAAAGGCCTGTAGGTTTACAGGCATTGTAGCCTTTTACCAGTCACCATGACTGTCCTCACTCACTCCAGGGAGCACTATATTGTTTGTAATTATTGTTGTAATTATTATTAATTTCAATTGAATTAGCTATAATATAAAATTAATAATTGTGTTAGCAACTCCAAGATATCTTTTTTTCTGGCACAAAGGCAGCAATCATTTTATCAATCTGAGACACTCATTAGAGGAAAAGTATAAAAAATATATTTCCCTCTTTCTACAGCCTGGCTGTACCAATATCTGCTATGACCACATCTTCCCCATCTCCCACATTCGTCTGTGGGCACTGCAGCTGATTTTTGTTACCTGCCCATCACTGATGGTGATGGCTCATGTTAAATACCGTGAAGGAAAGGACAAAAAATATGTGGAACTGCACCATGGCTCCCACCTGTATGTCAACCCTGGAAAGAAGAGAGGGGGGCTATGGTGGACCTATCTGCTTAGTTTAGTCTTCAAAGCTGGATTTGACACATCGTTTCTTTACATTCTTTACCGAATATACCATGGATATGACTTGCCCAGGTAAATCTTGTTTCATTACTTTTCAAATTGTATTTAAGAAATCTCTTACTTTACAAGAAAAATGTTTAAAGACAGCTGATCTACTCTTCACTTTTAGGTTATCCAAGTGTTCACTTGACCCATGCCCCAACACTGTTGATTGCTTCATCAGTCGTCCAACAGAGAAAAAGATCTTCATGCTGTTTATGGTTGTATCCAGTGCATTGTGCATCTTCATGTGCATCTGTGAGATGATATATCTCATAGGCAAGCGAATCACCAAATTAATGAGGGTCCGCCAGGAAAATGAAAGGCTCCTGTTTGCTGAACAGCATGAACTTGCCATTATGGCCCCACCCAGAACCCAATATCGAAAGACTGACCCAACAGCTGAGAGCCAGATGAGCTTGAACAGGAGGGAAAAGGTCAGAGAAGCTGGTGTTACTACAACGCTGTAGGACTCAGCGGTCACTTAAGGTTTTTTTTCATAACAGATGGCCACATGACAGGAACATGTTACCTAAAAAAGTCATGAAATCAAGAGACTGTTTAAAGGTCATTCCTGTAAACCAATCTTTTGATCCAGCTGAACCATTCATGACTCTCCATTGGGAGGATCTCCAACACTAACTGGCTGTATATTGTATTAGACACTATTTGAAGAAGAGGACTACAAGTATTAATAGTTTTCATATTAATTTTCTTTCTTTGTAACATGATCTAATCAACGTATGCCTATTGAGAGACACTCAGGATTGTGGATATACAGTTTTGACTATATTTGATTGTTTATAATATGTCAACATCAATATTTTATGTTCATTAAATGCAAAACCATAGTGTCTATGTTGTACATTACAGCCGTTGGTTTCAACAACACAATTAATAGTTATATTGAGTGTGTGGCTGACAAAAAAAAAGCCTCTGCCGCTTTAAATTTTTCCCCAAAAAAGGGAACAAACTTGGAAACTCAGAAACCCACCTGTGTGCTGTCATTGACTTTTGGGAAACACACCAGCTTTTCGCCCAGAAACGTCCCATGTCAACCAAAACATGAAAATCCAGGCAAAGGACATGGGTATCTGTAGAAACCATCACACATGTATAGAGGACCATAAGTGATGATTTCAGAAACACATAAAGGCATTTGGGGGTGTTGCCATCCGCGGCATTTTGTAGGAGTCGCAAACAAATAGAATACCAGCATTAAGTATGCTAGGCGGAACTGGATCGGACAAAACATTTTATGTATGATAAAGTGTTGTAGTGCAGTGAGGAAATAGAAACGTCACAGAACATGAGATCATTGTATTGTTATTGTATTATTATGTTATGGTATTGTTCCTCAATTGCATCCGTTCCTGCTTTAAGTGAGTTTTGTTATTACTGAGTTCTTTATTAATTACAAAGTAATCTATTGCTCTCTCTCTCTCTCTCTCTCTCTCTCTCTCTCTCTGTGTGGTTGGTGATGAAGAGGGTGTGGGTTTTTTTTTTATTGTGTGAAACACCTTGTGTTTTTATTTATCTTTGCTTATAATTTGAAGTCTGATTGAATGTTTGTATTTTCACATGTTTCTTTTTGTTTTCTTTATCTATGTTATCAGGTTTGCTCTGGCTAGTCAAGTGGAAAAACATGAAATGTTTCATAAACATGATTGTCCACTGGAGAAAGTGAAAACCTCTACTACATCCCCTAAAAGGCATTGCCGTTTTAAGCAGCCTAGGTTGTTGCCACACCCACACTTTAACTGAACGTTAAGGTGTGTAATTTAAAATGTAATTTTATTCCCCACACTTTTTAGCAAGGGAGTCATTGATGAAAACCTATTGGTCAAGTCAGATTTATTGAGTGGCAATTCAGCCAATCATAGCTGTTCGACCAACCCACCAGGCCAGAGAAGAGTTAAAAGACATGCATTCAGAAAACAATACTGTTTCTCATCACTGGCTGAGTTAGAGATATAAAAATGGATGGAGCATCTCTCTGAAAGATGGTTAGTCACTTAAACTGATGTTTTTAGATGTATTCCACTTCACAAAACAACATACGATTTGTAGATGTCTAAAACATTAAACATTTTGACCTGTTGGTCGTTCTTTCAGCAGCTGTTACGATGAGGCGAAAGTCCCCTTTGCATTCTTTGAAAACAAAAGCACATTTGATATAATAACCAGAAATAAAGAGACTTGCTTACTGCAAGGAACGCAAAATAAAATAATCTCAAAGAGCAGTTTTTTGAGTCATCCTTTGTTTAGAGCTTAAAATAACTGGGGCTTTCTCACAACAGATATTCATATTGTAACTTTCTGCTCAATGAAGTTACAAGACATTCTTCAGCTTGCATGGGTTTTAGTTCCAAAACTTAACACAGGCTACTGTAGGCCGTAGCCTACGCCAAAATAAAAAACCTACAGTCTCTCTGTGAGCAACGGTGCTCGTCAGCTTAGCTACCACACACACAGACAGACACACACACACACACACACACACACACAGACAGACAGACAGACACACACACACACACACAAACACACCTGTAAGGACACAAAGAGTCTCACATATTTGGATGCAGTCATTGGGTGCGTCCGAATTTCAAAGTGCCTAAACAATCTGGCAGTAGACGGTCCCTATCCATGCTGTATACTTTTAGTACCTATTGTTCAGTAGGTGCGCACAGTTGGCAGTTATTTGTTCCTACTTCGTCTGATTCATTCAGTGTGGAAATGGCGTCATTTGAAAGGTCGCATCAAACCTCGTTTTTTTGTTTGTTTAGCTTTATTCAAGAAGAGTAATGCCCATATACAGTCAGGTAAACAAAAAACAATATCACAATGTAAATCAAGTAAAAAACAAATAAAATAATAAAATAACATACAGTACATAGGCCTACAGGAAAGTACTACAGTTGAAAGACAGTAGTATATAGTATGTAAAGTAATAGCACACGTATCCCCATCACATTTCTTTGTGCCAAAGCCACAGCCCCAGACAACAGCAGTTGCCTCCCTTCCTCTCCCAGCCCGGCCACCCAAATGTCCCTCTTCAAAACAAGAGTAGCGCTCCCCACACAGGTGAGAGTCATCAGCTCATCAATTCAGTAGTTCTCAGATCTGCGGGGTCTCTCCCCCACAAGTGTCCACAGGGAGTTAATGAATCTCCCCCACATTGTTTCACTACAACACTTAAGACAAAGGAACAGTAAATCACTTGTTTTTTGTATCTTTGTTTTAGGCAAAGAAGACTTTATAAAATCAGCTGGTCTGACATCTTCCACAGAGGCCAAGCGTAAATTAAAACAATCTGTTAAAAAATCACACTGAATCACACAGCAACAAAAGGTTTAATAGAAAGGTGATGTATTCTTTTCGATTTTACAATCAACAGAACCTAAGAAGGACACCAGTAATTTCAACCTTATTCTGCACATGTGTATACAGTGGTTAGGCTGGGGTGGCATAGTTTGAAGGAACCTCATCCCTTTTTCACCTGTGCTTGGACCTTTGCTAGATGACCTGCTCATCCACTGTGGCAGAAATGACCTTACACCAGCAGCTCTCCCAGATGAAGAATCCTCTCTACCATACACTCTTGTCACCCAGAAGAGCTGATCGAATTTTGGAGCTCTGTGACAGTAAACAGTGAGATGGCTACCATAGTCATCCTCAGATAAAACACAGAGATCCTAGTTAATATTCAGTGACAGATTTATTTTAAAGTGCTATTTTTCTTTACATTATGTTGCCCTGTGTTTGAAAGGCCAAATGCTGGAGGGTTATGTTGGATTGACTTTTCCACCATATTTTGACAGTCAAAAGGTCATCCAGGATCTCTATACTTTATTTAGAGAGAGAAGAGCGACCTGCATGTGGTGTGGCTAGACCTAGGAGCATCAATGCTGAAAAATGTTGTTAGATACATCATATGACAGTGAAATAAGGCATGATGGGATGAGTGTGTCGTATGATAATGCTTTCATTGATTTGGTGCTAAAATCCAAATGATGACATTTCCAGCATAAACATGTTTTTTTTCACTATAATGGCTTAAATGGTCTTCTGCTCTAATCATGTCAAATTTTGCAACTTTTTCTAAAATTTCTTTAATCCTTTGACCTTCAATTGCTCCTATTTCTTTCTTGAAACCACACAAGATAAAGATTATGTTTAAAGCTGAAAAAAAAGAAAAAAGAATAGCTATTTAAGAGGAAAAATATATATAATAAGACAGTATAACTATTGTAAATAAGAAACAAATCCAACAATATGATCAGTTTTATGAATTTATGTTTTAAGACAAAAGTGTTCCCGCTACTTTCTATTGAAGATTCTTTTTAACATGGGCATGCCTGAGAAATTAAACGTTTGAAAATTAAACTAATGATAAATATTCTCACATAATCACGACATAAACAGGGTTAAAATAATTAACTTTTGCCACTGACTTAGGAGCAGCCAGGAATGTGAGCTAACAAGTGATATCCACAGAAAGAGTAGAATCAACCTGAGAGGCAGAAATCAGAAGCTTGTATAATTTAATATTTTACATTAACTCAGTGTTAGACAAGACTGTTGCTTACTTAGTATGATTCTGTAATACTCCACCTTCTTATAACTTAAAGTTAGACAGCACTTTACCTGATAGTGATACAATCTGGGACATGTGCTACTCATACATGGAAGCCAAGTGTCCTCTCTCTTCATGTATTCAGTGAGCCTAGGAAAGGGACGAGCAGAACCGGTTTGTACTGGTTTTTGTTATCCGTGGAAACTTTTATCTCTGAAGCGCAAACACATCAACACCTTCAGTTTAGAAAAAACCCACTTTAGACACTAGGTGGCGGTATTGGGCTGTTGTTTAGGTTATTGATCAATAAATTGGGCCAGTTGTTGTATGCCTGAAGCAAGTTCAACATATCCAGAATCTCTTTAAAGTAAGCTAGTTCGACAAAGCCAGAAGCCCCAGATAAAGATATCTGGTAGCATGAGCTGGTTGTGAACTTTGTCTGTTAACTCAGGCGTTCTGCTTCAGGCTCTAACCCTAACATCTTCTTATGCACAAAAGCGCTGAGTGCAGGCGGTCCAATATAATGAGGTGTGATGATGACGTTAATGTGGTAAAACAGGATACTATAGCTGCAGAAGAACGACAGTGTCTCCTGTTGATTTCTTATCTCTAACTACTCACAGTACAACTGTGAAACATAAACAATGAGACATGATTTCAGCGTTGTGAGCAGAAACTGCATTCAGTTTGATTATTTTGCTTCATGAGAAATATGCAGAAGTAACTTGAGTAAGCCTATTTGGCCTGATGACCTTTAGTCAGAGAGGACCTTAACTGATGACCTTTAGTCAGAGAGGACCTGATGAGTTGGAATCAGAGTCTGGACTGCTGTTTCTTTTGGACAATGATTTTATTGAAGACAGGAAGAAAACAATTTAAAACTTGGACTAGACTTCTTGCAGAACCATAGAGTTATAATCTGTTAAAAGCTGTTGCTAGTCTTCGTTACATTTTAAGAATATGTGACTAAAATTACTTTTACATTTCTTTAAACACGATGCTGATAGCAGTTACAATAAAAACTGTCCAATCATATGAGAGATGAGTTTACCTTTGACTGCTATGTGAAGGCGTGCTCTTCAGAATCAGCATGGTAAAGACATGATGATGGCGTCCAGCGTCACAACCTGCTGCTTCAGTCTGGCTGCTTCATGGTCACCTACAGGAAAACTACAGAAATGCAATAATAGTGCTTCCAGTTATTTATCAGAGGATGTACTCTATGCTATGCAAAGTAGACACTGAGACAGGCAGATGTATCACCCCCTTCACCAACAGGAAGGTGCCGTACTGTGTCAAGGTCAACCCAGACGAGGACAAACAGAACAGTTTTTAGCAATAATCCCTCAAAAAGATTTGTGACTTTACTCTTATTATCTTGCTTTTAATGCCAGATTCCCTTTGTTATGGGCCTACACATACAAGAATGAGGCAAGCAGTTGGAAATTCATTGAGGAAAATATAATTTCTGAACATAGCAAGTCTGTGTCTTTATCAGCTTTATGGTTTCACTCAAAAAACAACTTTAAAATAGACAATTCTTTAATTCAGTTGTCCTGTGATGTTGTAAAAAGCTTGCAGAAGTGTTTATCCTTTGATGAGTTGTCTTTACCATCATGCCCTTTATGGAATAATCCCTTATTAACAGCTGGTGATAGAACGCTGAAAAACAAAACGTGGCAACTTCGAGGAATAAACCAATTAAGGCAGATAATGAAGGATGGTGAAAGGGTGCCTTTTTAACAAATTAAAAAATCATTTTGACTTAAGAGATGTCGACTTTTTCTCATACTTTCTACTAAAATCAATCGTGGGGCTTCTTGTCTCAAAAAGCACCTACACAGGACTTAAAGGTGACAATTGGATAATAGACTGAGGAAGATGGCTTCAGGAAAAAGATTTGTTTCTAATCTATATAGTTTGTTTTCCACTGCCTCCTTGGACAGCTTATCCTCCATCAAACACCAATGGGAGAGGGACTTGGGCATATCTCTGACCGCTGTACAGTGGGAGACTGTTTTAAAAAACACAACAGCCTTATCTAAATGTGTAAGATATAACATTGTTCAAATTAAAATTTGACATAGGACTTACATCACACCAACCAGATTAAAGAAAATCGATGATTCCCTCTCACATTTGTGCTGGCATGGCTGTGGTGAGGCAGGAACACTGATCCACCTTTTGTGGCATTGTCCTTCCGTGAGGAGTTTTTGGAATGAGTTATCTAAAGATTGATTTTTATTCTGAAAGTAAAAATACCACCCTGTCCGCTAGTCCGCCTTCTTGGCACTAGAGTAAGAAACTCTTGTACATGAAGAAATATTCTGCCTCTTCCAAATATTAATTTTAAATTTCAGCCCTGCAGCAGAGGGAGCAGAAGAAAGTCGAGCCTGTTATTCTTACAGTCTGTGGACACTGATCAGACTGACAAACTGTTAATGTTAGTAATAATGCAGACCATCTGGAAATATTCTATTTTTTTATTACTACAAGAGACCTTAGCAGACATATTTATTTTAGCTTCTTTAATATGAT